GGGGATGTTAGCTTGGGTTACTGATTTACCATTTTCCAAGCTTTTGAAGGTTTTGATCTGTCCACGATGGTTGGCATTTTAGTAATTTTGTTGTCCATGTGAATTTTCTTGTTGAGTCGTGTGGTACAACTCTTGATGGGAGATTCTCAGTTTGATTTACCGATTTAACCTTTTGCAGCTATTTGGAAGTGTAATGGCTCACATAGTTATTCTCCTGGTAGCCATCGGGCCTGTTGATTTTTTTTTTTTGTCAAAGGTCAACTTCTATATATATTGGGTCTGTTGATGTTGAGTACTTCTTGAATGGTCCTCGTTGATTTTTTAAGATTGTTTTTTTCTTTTTTGGTTCTTTTGGTGTGGTTGTCTTGGAATGGTGGAGTTCTGCAAATGAAGGCAAAAAGAGCTCCTCTTGGATGGATTCCTGACTTTTAAGCAGAGAGAAAACATACTGCATCAGGAGTTCTATTGTTCTCTCTTTGCTTAAAAGTCAGGAATCCATCCAAGAGGAGCTCTTTTTGCCGCCATAACCAGAACTCCACCATTCCAAGACCACCACACCAAAAGAACCAAAAAAGAAAAAAACAATCTTAAAAAATCATCGAGAACCTTTCAAGAAGTACTCAACATACTGCAAAACCACAGTGTAGGCCTTCATGATCAATTCTCAATCACCACCACACAAACTGCTGATTAATTCAAAGATGCATAACAATGCTTCCTTAAAGATATGCATTACTATTACTTCTTGTTTGTGAGCTAATATCTTCCTTAAATTGAAAGTCAGATCTATATTTTTCCTAAATCATCGGACATTCAGTAAGTACATCAATACATATCCTATTTTGCTCCACCTCGGCATAAAATACTCATTCCAATTCACATGCTCTCCTCGATGGACCAAATTTTATTAATATAGGTGATATCCAATGCCTTATGCTAAATATAGAAAATTAGTCTTATGAAAGAAAGGTTGAATCCAAAGCAACTAAGATTTCCTGAGCTCTTGATTCTTTATTTCTTACACAGAAGATGAATCCTATGCCACAACAGCCAAGCTGCCAGTATCGGAAGTCAAAACTATGCTAAAGCAATGAATTTACAGAAAGGTAACAAAATTGGAGCTTTTTATACTAAATGAGTTTGAGACGATCCTGTTAAAGAAACTATACATAAAGCCTTCATGCATAGCCCTTCCCTCACGCCCAATTAGTAAATATGTATGGATATATAGTAACCAATTTGAGGCAGCTCAGTATGTCCACATCACAAAAGAAATTCTGGCATTGCTCCATAAGAATAGATATTATACTGCAAGCCATGTGAAGATCAATCCAAGAAAGACAAGATAAAAAATTACTAATACCCTAGAGACTCATCCATAGAAACATCTTTCCAAATGCATCGTTTACAGAATACTGCAAAGAACTTCACAAGGAGGAAAATGTTTCTTTTTTCCCACTTTTTTTCTTTTCCCATTTTAGTTAGCCCATATAACAAAATCAAATTACTCAACAAGCAAAAAATTGATTTTTACATTTATTTTACCCAAAAATAAGAACCCTAAAATCGAAAAAATGTACGTTCAAAACCGGACCCAATAAAATAGATAAATTTCCCATCGTAGCACTGCTAGGGCTTTGTTCAGAACAGAATGGGATTGCAGAAAACCCAAAGGCAAATCCCATATAAACCCACTTTTTTCATCAATTTTAGCAAACAAATTCCTATTTCTCCCCTTGAATTCTAGCATACTAACAATAAGATTCAAAATTTCTGTCCTAAAATATCCCAAAGGAAAATGGAAAAAAAAGAACATGGGAGAAGATGAATGCAATACATGCATATAAAGTAAATAAATCAGTAAATAGAAAGGGGACTTACCAGAAAATAGGCGATGGAGAAGCTGTAGAGAGAGAAAGTAAGGGGTATGAGACAGACAAAGCTCGAAAGGAGGAGGGGTTGAGAGACTGAGCGAGAGGCATTTAAGGTTAGGGCTTTAGCTATTGGGGGCATAGGAAAAAATTAGGGAATTTTGCCAATTTGGTCCCTAAACATTTTCATTTAAATCAATTTCATCCTTAATGAAATATTTTAACCAATTTAGTTCTTGAACTAGTTTTTTACTTTCAATGCAGGACTTTTCATTACATTTTACTGAATTCGCGTGGACCAACAAGGGTATAATTGTCACACTAGTTTAATAATCTGTAATTAACCGATAAAATAGATTAGAGATCATTACAAAAAAGGGGCAAGCATCTGGGTTTGAAACTATTTCAATGGGGCATCAAGTTCGTGCAGCTACCAACGCTCAAATCAAATCATCATATCTGATTCCAAAGCTTCTCGAGCCTGCTGTTAGCTACGCATTGAATTGTAAAAAAATGTCTTACCATTTGAATGGTGCGTTGGCAACCAATTAATCTGATGGGCGGAGAGAGAGGGGGGTGAAAAACTGGAATGTAGAGGAGCAAGCCGCCACAAGGGGTTCAATAATGTCATTTTTCTCCATTTTGTAACGCATGTGCCTAGTTATCTTATCAGCCATCAAATTGTCATTAATTTGCTGATTAAGATTTGACAGGATACTTGTAAGTTTTACACTAGTAAAGATCATCATGGGTTGTTTTTTGACTGTCATTGACGGGTTCGGCAACTGTATAAGAAGAGCCATCATCACATATTAGTGTCATCTGATGGGTTAAGTAAGAAACGTCTAAATTACTTTGTGTCGAAGTGTTGGTTTTGGTTAAGAACTATGGAAGCCTGAACCTAGACAAGACATTGTGGTAGAATTCTTCTGCATCGAGTTGCAGTTGCAATAAGCCTGCTGAAGGATGGATAATCATCCCCTGAAATTCCAGATGTCTTCTTCCGGTTCCATGTTGCAAACTACCATTCTACCATCATCCTCCTACATGCTTCCCCACAACACACATGTCAAAAAGGCCATGACTAATACATGAACTTCCGTCATCTACTGTGTTGGATAACCTCGACCTAATGGCTAATATTTCCTTCTTTCCACCTATACTACAAATTTGCTTCTGCCTCATTCCACTCCAAACCATGGAATTCAATCCCCAAGAGAAGCAATGCCACCTCTTTAAGTTCAAGCTCCAGTTCTTCTCCTTCGTTCCATTTCTATGCATTCACCTTTCTTCTTCAGCTGTTTTAGCTCCCATTCTCCAGGATCCTTCCACTCGGCTTCACTTTCTATCACTTTACTTGAGAACCCTTTACCAGCAGCCCACAAAACTACTCATTGACCTCATTGCCTCTTTCAGTTGGGTGGAATGCACCTGTAGCAACCCCTCTTCCTGTACGTACTGCTACCACCCGCTTCCCTGCGCTTCTCTTTTTTGCAACTAGCTCAATTCACCTACACTTTCAAACTGTTCTTCTAAACCCACCGATCCCATTTGTTTTGACAGCTTGTGCCATCTTTTCCTCGCAAGACCAAGGAATCGGAAAAGAGTGAGGGTGCAGGCACTAGCTGACATCAAGCTCTCTTCTCTGTGCTTTTCGTGGCCTATTGGGAGTTTTAACTTCTTTGAAGGTAGCACCGGATCTTTTTTTGACTGGACCCAAGCATTCGGACCACTCATTGGAGCTATGGCTGGTTCATATACTTTCAAGTAATTGTCTCTTGAGTAATACGGATTTGAGTGTTGGTAGTTGCACGAACTTGATGCCCAATTGAAATAGTTTCTCCCTTAATGCATCTTACCGGTGCTCCTTTGCAGATAGAATTGAGAAATTGTGATGAGCCCTAATGTCTTCAAACCCAGATGCTTGCCCCTTTTTGTAATGATCTCTAATCTGTTTTGTCGGTTAATTGCAGAATATTAAATCAATGTGACAATTATACCCTTGTTGGTTCACGCGAATTGAGTAAAATGCAGCGAAAAGTCCTACATTGGAAGTAAAAAACTAGTTCATGGACTAAATTAGTTAAAATATTTCTTTGAGGATTAAATTGATTTAAGTGAAAATGATTAAGGACCAAATTGGCGAAATTTCCAAAAAAATTACGAACAAAAGGCAAGTGGTCAAAGATTCTCAGTAAAAATTAAAAACTGATGATTTTACTGCCCTGTAGAGCTTTTTCTCTGGGTTGAAATCTTGAGGTTAATATTTGCTAAACATGCAAATATACACATTGCTCTAGATTGTTATTTTCTTTTATTTTGTAAATATCCACAAAAATTGATATTTGGTTTAATTGAATGATTTTTTATGGATTGGCATCGCTTATAGAACAATAGATAGTTTTGAGAGATGCTATGAGACAAGTGAGCAAATAAGAAGTTTTTTTTGACCCAATAATTGATGACAATTTTATCACAAGTTTTTTTTTTTAAAAATTTATTCTAATGATTCTACAAAGATGTTGGTGATTGACATGAATAATGTTCTCAATTATTTGAAAAAAAATTGCTTGCGGCAATGTTCATCACTAGTGCCACATCACTAGTGCTCCTCCAGCACATATTGAATCGGATACGTTACAAAAGATAGCCTTTTTCTAGGCCTTATAGCCTGGCTTTTCCCGGATGAACCCATATTTTTTTTTCCGTCTCCTTCCACCCTTTAAGAGTTATTCTCTCTAGATCTCAAAATTGTGATGATTTGTGCATTTGGTGGTCTTAATATGGCACAAGAAATGAGTGTGTGTGGGGTTTTTTTTTTTTTGAGAAAGAGAGATAAAAGAAAGGAGGAGAGTGGTGAGGGATCTTTAAGTGAGAAAGGCTCAAACCAAGAGGACTTCGGAGATGGCGGTGTGAAGAGTGGGGAGGTGTAGACTTTTGCATGAAATTTCGCCGTAAGATCGCTGTCCCGCCTCGCGTGACCAATGGTTCTCTGGTTTTCGGCTTTTATTAACGCTTTTCATCTTGATTTATGGTCTGCTTTGCTTTCTTAATTAAATGCCACCTGCTTTTGACTTCAATTACATTTCCTTCAAGCAATGGTAAACATCTTCATTACATTAGTATAATTCACAGATTAGGGACAACCACCTTATCCACTGCCGTAAGAGGACAACATAATTTACATCTTTCCTATAAATTTAAAGTTCCTTAATTCAACAAAATTCTAAAATGGTGAGCTCAAAAGTCATTAGATAATTGGCAATATGCCCCTGAAACACTATAATTTCTTTCTACTCATTTCTGAATGGTACCTCCCCAAACGTAAAATCTCAGTCCCACCACTGAACTGGAACATGCAACAAGTGTGGATCCAATTAAAACCAATAAACCTACCTCATAGATGACTTCCTTGCCAAACTTTGACCTTAGCAAATTTGCTGCCATCTCACTGCATACATGAATGAGTTTCTGCACCCCAAAAAAATAGGAAGAAAGAAATAAAGAAAAAGCAACAGCAGTAAAAATAAGGTCGGAATCAAAGCGTCCATGGTGAGACAATCAAACAGTCTGAATTTGGTAAATCACAGAAAGACTATACAAATATGAGAAACTAATTGATAGTTTGCTTTCTCATTGGGTCTATGGTTGCAACCGACTACATCAATCAAACAGTCTGAATTTGGTAAATCACAAAAAGGCTATACAAAGGGAAGTACAAAAATATAGGCTAAGAATATAGAATATCAGCAGAATCATGAAGTGTCATGCCAGCTCAGTTTCAAAGCCCACTTTAATGCATATAAATCAATGGTAAACCTAGTGCAGAAGCCTCCTGCCACAAAAGTGCTTCAAGAAGGCTAGGAGAATGTAGCCTTGCATTTGCAAACAGATTCTCTGCTTCTTCCCAGTCTGCTCCAAGAAAAAAACCTTGCTAGTGCCCAAGGTTTGCCTCATCCTTGGCCTACAATGATAAAAAAACAAATCTACGGGATCAAAACATAGATAAAAGTACAGTAAAACATGAACCTCGGCAAGCCCACTACTGATCAACAACTCTCTTCTTCGTGTTAAAGGATCCTTCTTCGCAACCTCATTTATATCTGAATTCTTCCCAGCACTTTTACCTGTATTGGCCTCAACTAAGATCTCACCATTGTCTCTCTTCTCCTCATCACTTGCTTCATTAACCTCAGAAGACTCTTTTTGCTGAGACAAGAAAGAACTTGTTTATGACCTACCTTAATATCATATAAACAGAGCCAAAATACATCCACTAGGTCCAACTAATGCATTTATATGTTGCAAAGTTCTCAACTAGCAAAAAGATCAAGCTAGTTACCTTGGTGTTGAGAGAGGGGATAGACAAACTTAAGGACGTGAGATCATCTGGGCTTAAATAGCGAGAACAATTTGGATGAAGTAACTGCAGAAGCGAATGCCTTCCATTCTGAAACAAAAACAAAGTATGTTTAGGTTATATATATATGCTATTTCACATAAACCTGTTGGATTCAAGATTTACAGATCTCTAAAAGTCCATGAATGAAGAAACATTTATGCATCTGGTGAAAGTAGTCTGAGCTAAAGCATTATCAACACTGTTCATCCAATATGTGAAATAATTTAATGCTGATATTGATGCAGGGAAGAAATAAAGTTTCGAAAAACTCAACTTTAGACCAAAGAAAGGCAGGCCTAAACATAAGAAATTACACAAAGGGAGGGGTTGAAGAATCACATCTTTGGTTAACCAGGAATCCAGCTTAGAAGAGAGTGCGCAAATCACATCTGGAATGAACAAATAAATGTTCATTAACAGCAAATAAGCCACAAGCAATCCTTTTTACTTTAACTAGGATCTTGCAGCAACTCAGTACACATGGTGGTTGCCATGCTAAGCATATTAATATTCTAGTTCTAAGACAGCTAGCTCTTTCCAATTCAAGCTGAGCAGAAGACCTTAACCACAAATTCAGGACTTCTAAATCAAATTTGAAGGTCACTGGATTATGCTTGACACCAAGTCCTAGAAAAAGCCACTCACATTTTCAATTACTAGGCAAGATAACTCATAGGGCATAAACATGACAATTAAGACTACTTGAACTGTTTTGCAGATAAACTCATTCTGGCATCAAGAGAAACCCAGAATAATGAAGAACTTTATGGAAACTGTTGCAGAAGGTCATTACTCAAGTTGCAAATGCCTCTTGAGACAATTTTCTTGTAATTGAACCTTTACTTCTATTACATATGAAAGAAAGCTCACGCTCAACTAAATTTGGGCTTGATTATAACTGCCTGAGAAGTGAGGGCACCAGAAGATTATAACAAGTTTAAACAAGTCCTTTAAATTACAAACCTGATCTAGAACAAGTTCCTTCAGAATGCCCTCAAGTGCCGGATGCACTTCTAAGATGCCACCTAACATCACTGCTTAATAAAAAACTTAGTCGCTAGAAACCAATAGCTATGGAACCAAACTTTGATAAGAGTTTCGTGTCATCAACTGTTGAAAGAATGGAGACAAGAACCTGAAATTTGTAGTAGCACGTTATACTTCCAAACTATCCAATATGAAAGTAGGGTAAATGCACTGAGAAGTCAATAAAGTTCACAACCAAATGGCCTATTAATGAAATGGGTGTTCGACAATCAAAATTTCTTGCTATCTATTATGGTGTAAAATGAATGCAGAAAACCCAAAAACAAATAACCAGGAGATTCTGAGTTCTTGAACTCAAAAAATGCAAATAGCTACAAAACAAAGACAAGTCAATAATAAAATCATACTCACCATACTCCCAAATCTGTCACGAGCAATCTTGTCACACTTTTCTTCCTCTCCTAAAACACACCATCAAAGAAAACAAAAATGAAAAGTAGATTGATCAACAACAGATGACTATACAAAAAGAACAGGGAACTTTTGAGTTTTTCCACAGAAGATAAACAAAAACAAAACTTCTTCAACAAACCTTTGCACTACCATGTTTGATGCATAGCATACCAACCCGGGAACCATCCCTAGCGTGTATCATCCAAACAAGAAGTGGACCTGATAACTGCTGAATTACATCTGCAGCAGATGACTTTAAAATACTTGATTTAGCTATGTAGGATCACAAATAGATGCAACAGTTGTTAATCTTAAAGTCAAGGTCACCTAGCAACAGAGCAATTCACGTCGGAAATACTACCTGATCTGCAACAGTCAGATACTCCATTAGTGTTCTGTGTATAATGGAGTGGTCTAATATTCCTTTCTCCAAAATTGGTTGAAGCACTGAGCTCATGTGACGTACAACAGAAGACCTTTGCAACTGTAGCTGGGAAATTACATCAACTAATCTGACAGGAAAGCATCAAAGTAAACAAGCCCCTATTAGAACTAAAATTCTTTTCAAATTTGGGAGCAATTATATAATTTAATAGCCTCATTAAATCTATTCTTCGAACAACATAATCAATTAGAAAAGAGCAAAACTGGTAATTTGGCAACCCCAGAAGACAGGACAAACCGTGGAGAATCACAACATCCAATGCAATTAACTTGACTCCTTTATTCAAAATTTTGAATTAATCCCTATCCTTACATAAGGAAAGAAAAAGAAAAATATTCACACAATATCTTAGAAATGTTTAGCCCTTAAAAGAACATCTCTCATAAACTTTCAAAAGACTAACAGCTCATATTAAAAAAAGGAACGTATCAGTATCTATGTATTTTTGTATGGATTTATAGCATGAATCGCTAGAATTACTAAGCCAAAAAATATTTACCTGATTTCCTTCATGGAGACAAGATCTTTGAATAACGGCAGTTCGGGAGAGTATAGTTCCATAAGTAGAGTTTGTTTCTGACTTGCATTTCCCACGTTATAGGCATGTTCGGTAACTGCAAAAAATAAAGCACCAGAACATCAGAATTTTCAATACTTCAATGTCATTGTTACATGTCAAGTTGAGGGAGATATGTCAAAGCTTCATCCTCAACTTTTATTGCATAAAAAAAAATCAAATCTGGCATGCATCGGAAATTCAGCTAAGGAACACAGCAAGCTGCACTTCAAATATCATGTTTAAAAGCATGACAAACACCTCTTAGCCTTCTGATCATGTAGAACCACAATTATAATACCATTGCAATTTCAAAATTTTCACTGGTTTTAGCTAGTCAATATATCGATTGTATGTGCCAAAGAAAGAAAAATTGGATCCTACCAAGTGAGCCCACCATGCGTCGAAGCAGCGGCGCAACATGCCCGTACAGTGAGGAAATAAACTCTGACAGCTGGTCTTTGGATGCTACAACCAAATAAAAAGCAGAGTAAGAAAAGGAAAAAGAAGCTTTGATGCACTTTATGATTTTGAAGGTTGGAACATCAAGCATAAAGCAATTCTTAATAAAAGAACGTAAGATGATATGAATCATCCACCACAAACATAAAGAATCATCTTGTTCGAAGCAATAGGATAAATGCAACTTAATCTTACCATTATCTAAAATCTTCGTCACCAGATGAACAGCATAAGTGTTTGTGACAAGTTTGCAGATCTTTTGGAGGTATTGCACAGTTTGCACCGATTTTGCGTACCCATGCTACGGCCTGACAATTTTGTAGTTTAGTTAGTTCTTTTTTACTGGTCTTATTTCTAGATGCCCCACAATGATATGTATGTTTAACTTCTGAAATACAAGTTTTGGTATATTGTACTTATTTTTCATGTATGCCTTTGCTAATTGTCTTTCTTGTGTGGATCTTTGTTGATTTTTTGTTCTTGTTTAAGCTAAATGAAAAGTTTTAGATATGCAGCAGCTTTTCTAAATGCGGGAAGGAGAATTTGTCTGTACATAATCAGCATGGTGTTTCCTCAAAAAATCAATGAAAATAGATTTGGGCCATGTAATACACATCTCAATGAAATCAGAAATTTAGAGGAAAGTTGAAGTTCACAAAAAATAAGTAAATCCACCTCAATTATCATATCAATAATATATCTACCGCGAAATTGTTCAAGGAAAACAGATTATTATGGATATTTACCAAGGACTTGGACATTGGGTTAAAGTGACCCTGCTAAGACCCCTCCCCAAATTCCCTAATATATCTTTCACGTTTCTAATAATCTCTAATTGGCCCCATTTCACTTTTTTGCTTCACTCCCACGTCTCGATCTTGTGCTGATTGCAACTAAAACTCTAAAACACTACTCTAAACAGAAAACCTAAAACCCTCCCCAATGGCCAGAGAGAGAGAGAAAAAAAAAGGGCTTGCTGTGCTTACTAAGCAAGGCAGACCTTTGGATACATTTTTTTAAAAAAAATTCCAGCCTATCGGACTAACTAAGCACGACAGATGTAGTTACAAAAGATTCTCCTATCAGATCAATATTTGTGCGATTTTTTAAAATTTTAAAATTTTAAAAGGGTAAATATATTTAAAATTTTTTTACCATACTAGTTAGATTCACAATGACATACAATGCCTAGAAAATAATGTTAGAAATTAAAGAGATTGTATCACTATAATTTAAAGGTATAAAATAATAGGAACAACATAGTAATGCTATAGAATAAAAGGATATTTTTGTCCAAGTTTTATTAACAGGTTGAGTTGAATTACTTATTGAGGCTAAGTGACTAAAAGATAATATTAGGTGATAAGCTGATAATAGTGATATAGTTTAAGGAAGGTAAAGTGATAGTAACCCTTTTAATTACTTGCATACGCATATAATGTGTCATGTACACTAGTATAATATTAACTTAAAAAAATACTAGAACAAATTGAGAGAGTGAAGAATATTTAGAAGAAAAAGAAGTAGGAAAAAGGGAAAAAATGTAAAAGGTATACCTATATTTTTTTAGTTACTACCAAACATTTTTCATGGGTTCAACAAAAATCCATTAACATTAACTAATGATAATGAGAGTGAATAATAAACTTTTAGTAAACAGTTAGTTTTAGTTATTTGCAACATTCCTACAGCCACTGGAGCTAATAAAAGGGAAACACATATTATTGAATTCACGAAAACAGGAATCAACCAAGCCAAGTATGACAAGATCATCTGGACCTTCTGAAAAAGCCATTCAGGGTAAACCATCCAATCAACCACAATGGCTATCATACTACTCAGAGGGACATTTTTGAGGATTGGAGCCCATCTGAACAACCCTAAAATCATTTTCACATTTTTTGACACTCTCTTAATTTCCCTAAATTAGTGAAATGCTTAGAAATAAGCTAAAGAAAATCCATAAGAGTGGACATAGAAGATGTGCAGAAAACCCATTACACCAATGAACTAACTACAAATGAGAGGCCTTCACTACACATGACTTGCCATTGAATATACTTAAATAAAGTTGCTTCACTACCTTCTTCATTACCTTCATTTAGTAATCTAATGTAACTTGGTACTTTCTCACTAGAAAACTTGTTTCCAGACAAGAATTACTTTTGACAAACAGGAGATGTTACAGCAAGAAATTGCAAAAATCACCCCCAAGTTTCAGCGAGAGAGATCATTATAGGAAGCTTAAGCTGCTATTTGACAATCAATCAAAATAACCAATTTTGAATTAATCCCTATCCTTACATAAGGAAAGAAAAAGAAAACTGTTCACACACTATCTTAGAAACGTTTAGCCCTTAAACGAACATCTCTCATAAACTTTCAAAAGAATAACAGCTCATATTAAAAAAAGGAACATATCAGTGTCTATGTATTTTTGTATGGATTTATAACATGAATCGCTAGATCCAACTGTTCATTATCAGCATCATTTCCGTTCCACTGATACGCCTTTCGATAGCTCCTCCAGAGCTAAAAGAATCTTGTCATACCGTTCAGCCAATTGTTCGTCTCTTTTTTTAGCGGATAAATCGGCCATTGCGAAGAAAATTGCCCCCACGAAGAGATTATTATAAAAAGCCTTCGTCTGTTCACCTGTTAGGCTCTTAACCAGCTTCTTGATGAAGGCCACAAATGGCGATCAACAAATTGTTTAGGCTTCTAAAATCTGAACAAGGAAAAGGCTTTCTCAACAACTTTGCTATGGCTGCGATTTTTGCTGGTATTGGTGAAGTTGCTTCTCAACGAAAAGAATAGCAAACGATTGAGAGGGACAACACGATACTAATGGCTCTGAAAGATCTATCTCTGACCATTGCAGATATTGTAAGGCATGTACGGCAAAGTGAGGAAAGGATCCTCAACAAGAACCAGCCACTGAAGATTCTAGGAGGAGCTGATCACTTGGAGGCTCAAAAGAGACTCAAAGTACTCTATTTGATACATTTTTTTTTTGCTTTTTCCCCCCCCTTTTTGGGTTGTATTCTTTTCCCTTATTTTCCACCCTTTTGGGTTGTATTACCTTAAGTTATGTTTTTACTAAATTTTCGTCTCTGGATGAATTTTTTTTTTTTTTTAGAGACATGCCTTTATATGTTAAAAAAATCTTAGGGTTAATATACGGGTGTATAATAAATGGATGAGTGGGGGTAAGGTGGCTTGGTTTGCTATATTTCGGCTAAAAGTTATAATGCTATATTTTGGCTAAAAGTTTAAATATTGCTCGAAAAGGTATTGTATACTTTTATTCAACATTTCTGAGTTTTTCGTTCAACATCAATGTTTGATAGGTTAATCCTCATTTTTTTTGCTACATCTAATTGGTCAGTGTTGGTGAAATAAAGACTAATAGCTTAATATTGTTAATGTTGCTTAAATAAAGACTAATAGCTTAATGGATTGAAACAACTAAAAGTGTTTTCAATCCATAAGAGCTATTCATGTATTGGATGAATCGTTTCATATAGTTATTCATGTTCTTGTAGTAATAAGTGTTTAATAGAATTGATTTACTTTTAATTTTGTAGTACCTATATATAGAGGTACCTTAGCACTTTTTGGGTGTACATTTTTTATTAGTTGGAATAATAAGAACATCATTCTGTAATTTTCTATTTTCTTCTCTAAGTTTCTATTTCATCATTCTCTAATTTTCTATTTCCTTCACTAATATTTCAATTCCTATTATAGTAGTTTATTTTATTAATTTTATAACACGTTATCAGCATGAGTCTCTACTTTTGAGCAAAAAAAGTGAAAACGGAGCCTCTACCTTGAGTAAAAGTAAAACAAGAGATTCTGCCGAAATTCTGCTCGTGTTTTTCCGTCAACTTCTGTCTACTTATTGAGAAATGGATGCCAAATATTTGGGATTAAATAATGGTGATGATGACATTTGTCTCATTAATAGTGTTACTACGCACACTATATTGAAAAATAAAAAATATTTTTCTTTTTTGAAAATGAGAGAGACAAATGTTAATACCATCAGTGGTAGTGCAAAATTGATTGAAGGTTCCGGAAGAGCCATTCTATTTCTTCTTGAAGGGACTAAAATTGTCATAAATAATACACTACTTTCTCTCAAGTTTCGGAGAAATTTAGTGAGTTTTAAAAATATCTGCGAAAATGGATATCATATCGAGACAATGACTAAGACAAATGGAGAATTTTTATTAATCACAAATATCATTTTTAGGTAGAAATATGTAGTAGAAAAATTACCTTCTTTTTCTTCTGATTTATATTATGCACAAATTAGTGCAGTTGAAATTTATCACCCAATAGATTAGAAGTCTACTCATCCCAATGATTTTATGATTTGGCATGATCGTCTCGGATATTCTGAATCTATAATAATGGGACGAATAATCGAGAATTCACATGGTCACTTATTAAAAAATCAAAAGATATTAAAAGCAAATGAATTCTTCTGTGTTGTTTGTTCCCAAGAAAAATTAATTATTAGACCATCGCCAGTTAAAGTTGGGACTGAATTTTCTATATTTCTAGAACGAATTCATGGTGATATATGTGAATTTATAGATTCATCATGTGGATCATTTTGATATTTTATGGTGCTAAATGATGCATCAATTAGATAGTCACATGTATATTTATTATCAACTCGCAACCTGACGTTTGCGTGATTGCTTACTCAAATAATTAAGTTGCGAGTATAATTACAGATTATCCAATAAAAAAAATTAGTCTAGATAATGTTGGCGAATATTCATCACATGTTTTTGACGATTATTGTATGTTCATTGGAATAACTGTTGAACATCCTGTAACTTATATTCATACACAAAATGGTCTAGTCGAATCATTTATTAAACAGTTACAATTAATTGATAGATTATTGTTGATGAGGTCTAAACTTCTTTCATCTGTTTGGTACATACTATATTACATGTAGCAACACTTAAGAATTAGGCCGACAAGTTATTATATTTATTCATCCCTATAATTAACTTTTGGTTATGAGTCCAATATTTTTAATTTACAAATATTTGATTGTGCGGTTTATGTTCCAATTGTACAATTCCAACGTTGTAAATTGGGCCCTTAAAGATGGAAATATACGTCGGGTATGAATCACCTTCAATTATTAAGTAAATGGAACCATTGATAGGTGATTTATTTATTGCGATATTTGCAGATTACCATTTTGATGAATCACATTTTTCGACATTAGGAAAAAATAAAAATCAACCGAAAAAAGAAAATCACTTGGAAAATATCATTGAATTTCTTTGATTCTTGTATTAAAGAATGTGAATTAGAAAATCAAAGGATTATACATTTGTAAAAAATGGTAAATCAATTACCGGATGCATTTAATGATTCCAAAAAAGTTACTAAATCACATATTTCTGTTGAAAATGTTTCGATTAAAATTAATGTCCCTCAATGACAAATTATAAGTGCTAATGAGTTTCAAGTGCGCTTGAAGTGTGGGAGATCTCTTGGTTCTAAAGATAAAAATTTTTGAAAGAAAAGATGAGTAGATAAATTAACAATTAGTGACAAAATTCAACCTCCTGAAGAGGTCACTCATAAAGAGCCAATTCTTGAAGAGAATAAAATTATAAAAAATTCAATAAATTTTGTCATTTCAAGAAAAAATTGGAACCGAAAAGAAATAATTGTTGATAATATTTTTGCATATAATATAGCACTTGATATTGTGGCAAAGGACGAGAATCATGAGTCTAGATCGATTGATGAATATCGACGTAGAAATGATTGGCCAAAATGAAAAAATGCGATCCAATTTGAATTGGATTCATTAGTTAAAAAAATTTTTTTGGACCTGTAGTACAAACACCTGAAGGTATAAAGTCAGTAGAATATAAGTGGATATTTGTGAGAAAAAAAATGAGAAAAATGAAATTGTGAGGTACAAAGCATGATTTGTAACTCAAGAATTTTCACAAAGGCTTGGATTTA